TAGTCTGTCTTAATCTTAATGTTCAAATTTAGAGGAGTATCTGACAGACAAGCCTATACCACCCAAAATACCATAGTTTAATAACTGCAATTTTTAAATACTGCATAATATTAATACTAATAATAATATTAATACTTTTATCAGACCTTTTTAAAGCTAAAAAATAGTATATAGTTAACTTTTTTGTACTGATTTACAAGGAGATCTACACATTTATGTAGGGAATTTGATCCGGGTATCCCGGGAGGCCATACGCTAAGGCTCGAACTCCAATTGTGGGGCCCATTTCCAGCGTCCTCTCAGCTGGCCACTTGACATTAAAAGTGGGTCACTCTAGTTCATAAAACTTCCTTAGAGTGAAAGCATCTACTTGGATGCCATATCTGGCCGCCCTGGAAGAGAAGTCTGAAAAGTTAGTTACCAAACACTCCAAAGGGGTTGGTCTTTCCACCCTTGACTGTCCCGCTCCCATTTTTCGCTTGCGCCTGTTTCGCTAGCGCTGTTTGTTCCAGAACTGAGTAGAGAAAGAAAAAAACCACACAAATCCACAGAAATAGAAATACACTGTCGACAGAAAGATCATTGACAAACACAAATTCACAAAGATATCAAGAGACACTGTTGACAACAAAGACCACGACCAAACCTGAGTCCGAAGAATGGCCTCTCCCATCCAGCAGACAAAAGAACACTGTTGTCGACAAAAACCATGGCAGAACTTGAGTCCGGACTGACAGACCTGGTTTGAGGGGTGGGTTTCTCTCACCTCCCACCCGCCAAACATCTGAGGCGTGGGCCTCTCTCCCCTGAGATTCTGAACTTGCGGGTCACCAGACCGCGGCGAGCTAATTCTGAACTTGCTGGACAAACCTGGGCTCTCGTGTGCCAGTGGCATCCACCTGAGAAACCAGACCTCCAGACAAGCTGATTTCGAACTTGCAGGACAAACCTGGGCTCTGGCATGCCAGTGGCAACCACCAGAGAACCCCGACTTCCACGTGAGCTATTTCAGGACTTGTAGGTCAAACCTGGGCTCTCGCATGTCAGTGGCATCCACCTGAGAACCCAGACTTCCACACAAGCTGAATCCAGGCGAGCCCCCACTTCCTCAAACACCTGGACCTTGGCAGTCGTCACTGCTGCGCTCTTGGACTGGAAGTTATGCAGCGTCCTGCCTTCCAACTGTTCAATTTAAAAAACCGGGGTGCACCAAACAGAATACAGATTAACCAGTTATCAGGCCTGACTTACCAGGAAGGAAGAATCCTACTGCGACGTCATAGTTACTTCGTTGGCCGGCGATCAGGGTTTGGATGAATTTAGGGAGATCTCGCTGGGACTTCCAAATGTAACGGAGCGAGTCCCCAAAAAGATCACCGAGCCAATCAGCCGAATTAACAAAGTTTATTTCGAGTTCGAACCTGGGCTCCCGCGTGCTGACACAGCAGCATCCAGTCGAGAGCCCCGAATTGATGTCTGCCCCTCCTTTTATACCTCTGCTACTCCCCTGCCCAACCATACACGCCATGATTGGCCATCCACAGTAGTTTGGGTATTTGTCC